GCTAGACACTTAAATTATGTTTGAATCATCAGAAAACACAATTTCTTTTTGCTAGACACTTAAATTATGTTTGAATCATCAGAAAACACAATTTCTTTTTTATTTTGATGTATTTTTCTTTAAAAAATACAAACTTTTTAAAATCAAAATAACCTCATTGTTACAACGAGCTTCAGGTCTAAAATATACGTTGAAATAAATACTTAAATTCACTTACTTCCTAATAAACCCATAGATCTTGCTTTCCATTTTAGTCAGTTTGATAAGAACCAAGTAGCTTACCATGGGCATTTGGGATTTGACGGGGTTGAACTCTTTAGCATTTGGGTTTAAAGTTGATTTCTTCACTTGGCTAGAAGATACAAAAAGTTATCCATCAATAACGGAAAGAAAAAAGGTCAAACAACGTCAAAAATCCCGTTTAAACTCACTCTGCCACACCGTCTGTCCGCTCCGTCGTCTCAGACCTTGCATCCTCACTTCCTGGGGTCCTGGCTGGCTGAGGGGTTGATGGTGATTGTCTGTCTGAAATGGGTGCAGTGGTCGTCACAGCTGCACCACCCAGCGTTGCTGATGTGTCCTTGATGGGCTCCTCGGAGGACGGCAATGAATGCTGTGACGAGCTGGGAGCTGGAGGCTGAGACTTGGGCTCTGAAGCAGGGTGCACGTCTGTCGTAGGAGGCTTAGCTGCGCTCGGCTGGGTGACTTCACCGACTGAAGGAGGCGTCGCTGCTGCTGGAGACGTGGGCGAGCTAGAGCTGCCTGCACTTGGCTGCAGCTGGAAGACAACAAGAGTTTGAATATTTGTCCCAACACATAAATATATGACCCCAACTCCCCAAGGTCTATTTATGCTGCTGCAAAACCTCACTTTTTTAAGAATTACAGCTTCCCAATTAGCAGCAGAAACAAGCACGGCCACTGTTCAACTTTCAATAGAACTAAAAACTGTCAAAACCATAGAAAGAATCAAACATCTGCCTGAAGAAGCAGCAGTCACAACAGACCGGCCTGAGGTGTCTACAGCCAACAAAAGTATTTTCACAGACAAATACACCACTTCGACGCCCTTAATTCAAATTTAGACACATCCACTGGATTAACACAAAACTATTTATTCACATTTTAAGTGCAACTTTATTATTTTATTAGTGAAGTCCTGCTGCGGCCCCAGACACTGGCGAGTTGCTCATTTAATTTTTCCTGACATTGTAGGGCTAGCAAATAAAACTCAGATAAAATGTCTAAATTCTTATACAAACTGTCCAGGAAAAGTGAGTAATATTAAACACCCTTATGAACAAGCATTCAGAAAGTGTTTACCTCTGACGTGTAAAGTTCTCTGCTAAAAACTGTTCATTGTGAACACCGTTAGAAAGCTTTACTCGTTAAGACAAATAAGACAGAAAACTGCAGTGCTTACTTTAATTAATAAAGCCACCATTGATCATTAATTCATTTATATGTACCAGACTGAAACAAGATGAATGAACTGAAGTCAACATAAATAATATTGCCAAAGGATATTGCCTCTTGACTGATCAGGAATTTGTACAACCACCAAAGAGACAGTTGTGCTCTCACCCTGAATTCTTTGCCAAATTTCCGCAGCTCTTCAATCTGTGATCTCTGCTGAACTGAAGGAGCTGGAAAGAGAAAAACAACTGTTGACTAAAACAAAGAAAAAACAACATGTAAAACATGCTAAAGTCCTGTAACCAAGTAAAATCTGGTCGTGCCTTCTGGTATTTTTAAAGTAGGCAAACCTTTACTGTTTTTGCTGTCTTCTGTGCTGCTTGGGCTCTCTGCAGATCGTTCTTTTGCAGCTGCACCAAGGATCTCATTCACTGCGAGGACAACAAAAAACACAGAGCCTTATAGAGCTTGTCATAAATACACAATGCCATTAACAGTAAAGGTCCTGTCAAGTCAATATCAAATGCAAAGTAACATTTCAACAAAAATGTAAGATGTTTGTGAATTTCTCGCAGCAAAAGAGAAAAAAAACAAACAAAAAAAAACAGTCGAGTTCTTGTCAAAACTGAATGGAAAATGTGCGAGAAGACGAGCTACCTCGTAAACCAAAACAAACCTGAGCAGAAATAAAAAGAGCACGATGGGAGACATTACCATCTACAGGGAAGAGAGGGGCGGGGCCAGACGTCTTCTGGACAGGCAGGGAGACGGACGAAGTGTCCAAATAAGGTGTGTCCTGTGAAGAGCCTGATTTTGGAGAACGAACAGCTGCAAGAACAAAAAGACAAAAAATGCTTAAACAAAATGCAACAATATAATAATACTGAAGAAGTAAAAACAGCTGAGAGCTAAACATAACTGCAACTGTACCTGTGGGCTGAGGGTGAAAGTTTGGATTTCGGTTTGTCCTGCTCGACTGTGGAGGTCTTTGGGCTTTGGGAGATGTTCTAACAGAAACTGAAGGGCACAACATCTGCGTTACGCTCTGCGAACATGTGACGCAGCAACTGAAACAATTTCTGACAATTAACTCACCTCCATTGACAGATCGGCCAGCGTCGGACAGAGAGAGTGGGAGTGAGTGAGAATGAGGGACTGCATGTCCATGAGGAGCAGGAGGGCTGGACGGGGAGGTGGCATTAGAAGCAGAGGTGGATGCAGGTCCGCCAGGAGAGGCAGGTGTGTATGGGCTTGCAGCACCAGAACCTGGGCTGGGGCTGCCCTGTGGGTGGTGGGGAGTGTAAGCCCCACCTCGACTTGACAGAGGGCTGCTTCTCTCTGATGGAGAAACTCCAGGCTGGGCTCCACCAGCAGAGGAGAGTGGGGGTCTTGGAGAGGATGAGGATGTAGGAGAAGGGCGGTACCCTCCGCTGAGACGACTGTGTGGTGGAGGCCCACCAGAACCTCTCTCAGCTCTCTCTCGGTTCAGCTCTCTCTGACGTTGAGGTAGTGGAATGTACTTCCCATCTCTGAGAGACACAAAGTCCAAACACGTGAGGAGGACGTGATAAAACTCTAGAAAAACTATCTGGTTCACAAAAACATGGAACAAACAGTTGGAGTTCAAATATCACTGAATTTAAATCATTACTTTAGTAAATTTCACCTCGTGAACTTTACAAACAGCTATGAGCTATTTTCACACATCGAGTGCGTCTTAAAATTTAAATCATTTGTTCTTTTGGTAATTCACACATGTCCAACACAGAGCAAAAATATTTTAATCATTTTAATAAAACTGTCAACTAAAGCAAATTGGGCAAATAAAAAGAAAATGACAATATACAAGGATGAGAGGAATTGGAACAGCTTTAAATCACTTACACTTGTGTATAAATAATTTATTTTAATATGCTTTGAACATTTTGAGGATCCAGCTGTCCCTCAGCGAACACTGGGCCTGAATTTTTCCACAATGTGCATGTATTTAATTGAAGTGTAGCCAAGTCTGAGAAAGTGGAACTTCTTTGTTGTCAGACCACAAAGATCTATTTTACACGCCGTTGTTTTCAGATGAAATTTGAACAATTCTGTTGCGTTTTAGCCATTTGTCTACATGACAGATTCTCGGACATTAAAACCCTTTAAATCTGTCTGAAGATCAACATTTATTAAATTACCAGCACTGTTTTACGGGAAAATGCAATTTACCTGAAAGTGGAAGTGTTTGCACATGAACACTACAGTTGTAATCAGTCAATACGCTACGTTTTCCTGAATATTTTCAGATTTACAATTTAAAATAACCCAACCTCATCATTGTGCAAAATAAACATTTATATTTTGGCATTTTGGATGTAATTATTTTCATGCTCAAGACTAAAGTGTTTGAGAATGTACGTATTGTTGAAAGTCAGCCAGCTGGGAAACTACAGAGTGACTGTGTGAACATAAAGCTTTTATAATCAACACTGGGTACATCTGTCATTTTTAAAGGAAATAGTTTGTGTGTAAACTTTGTCAAATAGGACTCAGTTTTAGCTGTATCAACATCCCAGCCTTTTTCTTCTTGTGTTTACAGTTTGTACCCAGAGTCCAAGCTTTATTCAAATGATCCACGCCTTGTTTTTGGTGTATTTTTGTGGCAGTTACAGCACCACACTCTGGCCTTGATATAGTTTGTACAGACTTTTAGGATTGTTAGTTTCAGTGTAGATGAAAATGTTTATAAAATGGTGCTGTGTTTACAAATAAACTTTTGGGAAACAAAAACAAAAAAAATGTTTTTTGAGGGGGGAAAGCCTTTTTGAGTGGACAAGGCCTCAGCGTGTACTTAAACACAAACACCTCACACATACTCGTCAACTCAGCCATGTCACTTCCTCTGTTGGTGAGTTGACATGAGTTGACATGAACACCCCCCCCCACCCACCCACCCCACACAGTAATTTCACACCTGATAGTGATGGAGGGGAAGGTACATCCGGCCCAGCTTCAAAGTTGTCATGTTAAAGAGTTTATTAGCCTCAAAACACTTCTGAGTAATCAGGGCATTGACCAGTAACATCTCAGGGTGTCTACTGGAGCTAAACCAGTCTCAACACTCATCGGTTCTGCACCACACCGCACTAGTTATGGGCCTGCTCACTGGCTGTACCAACCACCACTCAGCCCAGTTTATGGGACCATCTTGTTCATGCTACAAGGTGATGATTTTGATGTATGCAGGTAGCTGCTGTTGATGGGCCAGTGCAGCCATGTCACTGGATGACCCGCCCAACAGTAACTGCAAACTACATCTGAACCACTGTTTCCTTTCCGATCGTTGCAGAAGGTAGAGTGTGGGTTTGTAGTTTGTTTTTTTCCTACAGTTCAGTAATGGAAGCTTCAAATGTAGTGCAGTGACAGGTCCAGACCAGAAATGATCTCACCGGAGCATTGTGCACAATGGCCTGTTACGATGATCGCCCACTTTGCAATGACAATCCCACCAGAGAGCGGGGAAACAAGTCACAGAGGGTATTCACCTACACCTGAGAAACGTTTCAACAGAGAAAAATTTCTCCAGATGACCCGATTTAACTTTCCCCCCTGTGATCTATTTACCTGGATAATTGAGCATCAGGACTATATCTGAGATTAATCAATAAGACGAGAACAGACTCGAGGTGAACTTATCAATGGCAAAGTGGCTTTAAAAACATTGATTTACCCAAGATCCTGTTTGCATGAGAACGAGCTCTGGAAACTTTTTTGGTGTGTGTTTATCGGGGTGAATAAACAAAAAAGCCCGTATGCATTGATTTGCTGTAGTTTCCATGCCAGGCAGGGTTTCCAGATAAGAAATGCACTGTCACTTTAAAATTATTGTATTTTGACCCAAACTGTCATTTGTGCTGAGTGAAGGTGTTTAAAAAAAAAAAAAAAACATTTATGCTTATCTGGCAACCCCGGGCAAGGCTCAGCTGCATGCAGTGTCAGTTGTCCAAACTGGTGGATGCACGACTGCTCCCTCAGACAAAAAATATTGGTTTTGCTCCTACATGTTGGAAAATGGTAAGCAGCACAAAAAACACTGCCCTCTGCCAATTATTGTAACCGTTAGTGCAGAAAAACTTCTGATTTCAGCAGCATGTAGTGCCATTTCACACCTCTGCAGGTGGTTCCTCCAAAAATCTCTGCGGTTCATGTACACAAACAGCTAAAATGCAGCAGAAAGGCGCCGGTCTCACCCTAAAGATGTGTTGCGTAAACAGGGGCTACTAGTTCTCGAAGTGGTAATGTTCTGTCACTTCTCAGTTTGAAAAGCAAAGGATTTATATCCGTACATATTCAAAAATTTCAAGACAAAAACGCCTGGACTTTATTTGTAACAGAACGTTCATATTTTGGACCGAGACGACAGATGGTTTGAGAGGGGGGTGAAGGAAGCAATTTATGTAAAATGAGAGAAACCATCTTTAAACAGAGGAGGAGGTCTCTGATTTCAACTTTCAAAAACTTATAATGAAGCTTTAGGCCTGATACACAGTCATTTTCACACCTATCAGGAATTTCAGCCATGTCACCAGAGTGGCTCCTGTGTCTCAAACTAAAAGACGTTAACGAACCCCTGTTGTGAAGAGTGATAAGGCAATCTGCATATGTACTTAGCTTAGCTCAGTTTTATAACTAGGAACCCCACAATAGCTATGTTTACATGTGCAAAAGTCTTTGACCGGATTGAAATGTTTTATATTAAATAATTCAAATGTATTGTTTTAGTGAGGGTGGTGGCACAGAGGTTAGAAGATGGGCTTGTGATCGGAAAGTCGCAAGTTCACCTCCCAGTACCGTCAACATCAAAATGTGCGTGGAAAAGGTGAAACACCCACACCTCCCTCCACCCCCACTTGCCCCACTCTGGGCCCCTGAGCAAGGCTCTTAACCCCCACCATCTGCTCCCTAAAACAGGTCTGTCTTGAAAATGAGTTCTCGTGGCTCAATGAGGCTACCTTGGTAAATAAAGGTTAAATGGAAAAAAAAATGTTTACATGGGCACAATCCGTTCACGACGAGCGTTTAAATGCAGCGGACTTTTATTCTGAATAGAAGTGCTGTAAACTCTCCTTTAAAAAATCACCGAAGAAGTTCTACTTCCTGGATGAATGAAAACAAACCTGAGCGCCCATGACGGTGGAGACGTTACTGCACTCCCTGACTGAGCTACAAGTAACACAGATCATTTTGAGATCTTTCAAAGTTTCTAGTTGAAATGTGTCGCTCACCGACCAGTTTTGCTTCTGCTACATGCTAATATTATTAACATTAGCCAGGCGGAAATACGTGAGGCAGCCATAGTTCGCACATGCGCAGTCAGGTTAGTTTGCCACAATCGGAAAAAAATAAATGAACAGATTAAGTGTTGACATGCGCACCGTTCGGATTATGAATCGGCATAAACCACCCGTCTCATTCTGATTACAAATTCTTTCAAATCGAGCTGAATCAACAAAGAATAATCCGCATGGGGCGTTTACATGATGCGTTTTTATTCCGAATGGCTGTTTAATCTGATTACTTGTGTCCATGTAAACATAGCTACTCTCTGTTCTTTGAATTGAGAAAGCTCCTCGGATGAGAAGCGAAACGTCTTCTGGTACAAATAAAGTCCAGTTGTTTTTGGTCTTGAACTTATTTTGAATTTCCAGTCCTGGATGACTGAGAATTTCCCCCAGTGTGTCCGTACATCTTCTGCAGAAAGACAAATGTGACTACTACTGCCTGTCTCACCTGCTACTGGCTCCAGGACTGTCCCGACCTCGTTCCCGGGGACTCTCATGATCCCTTTCCCGATCGCCGCCCTCCCTCAGCACAGAGCTGTATTTTTCCTCCTCACTTTTGCCTTCCTCGTTTTCCAGGCTGACACGACGACGATACTGCGGGCTTGATTCAATCTCACTGGCGAGGCGAGCAGCACGTGCCTCCCTCTGCCGAAAGACCTCCGAGTTGCCCCTCTCTAATGGAACACTTGGTGGAGAGAGGAAATAAAAAGAACGTAAACCATTAAAAACTATCCATTTTACCATTAGTATTGTTGAGGCAAGTCTGTGTTTGCTGGGTGTAATACTGTCACAACTATTTACACCTGTAAAGTAATAATAATCATTTTATTGATCAAAAGATTGTTTTATGGTATAATACAGAATCAAAAATGTAGAAACTCTTATAATTAGGATTCATAAACTTTAAACAGATTCTTTAAGCTGTTTTGCCAGTTAGGCGACTTAAAAAACAAAGAAACGGTAAAATAAAATTTCTAAGGGCTAAAAATGTTTATTCTATCAAATCCAAAAAGAGTTCAGTAGTACAAAATTTAAAGAAAAGAAAAACACACCACAAAACAAAACACCAAATACAACATGACAAAGTTTGTGTTTATGCTAAACTTACGTGTACATGGAGAGGCTGGAATCATACGTCGATGTGACACCATATTTAACTTCATTGTAGCGGAACATCTCATTGGCATCCCACCCATTGGACTGTGAAGATAAATGAAAAGATTAATGAGATAATAAAGCTACTAGTCCAATAAAACCTTGTTAAAACAATTAAATAGAGGAAATACATTTTTAAATTACTGTAAAATAAATATTTTTTCAATAAAAAAAAAATGCAAAAAATGTGATGAAAGGGTTTTTTGTTTAAAAACTCTACAGCATTTAAACCTTCAAAAATATTTTAAATTAGACATTTTTATTTCAGGCTGAGACAGCTCTAAAGAAAAGAGTGACTGTCTATTGTAGAAAATATTTAAAAACTGTATTTTTAAGCAGTTAAATAAGGTGATTGATCCATCCCTGGGGAACATGAATAAAGTTAAAAGGGTTAAACCGTTTTATTAAAACGTTCACAATATGACGCTTTTGATGTGGATCAGAGTTCATGATCTTGTCTGTTGTTACAAAAAAACAAAGTGAAGTTTTTGAGCTGCATGCATTCAGCTGGGACTGCTGATAAATAATAAAGATAAATTCACTGTGAAATAATTCTTTATAAGAGTCTTGAAAATGTGTTATCTTGCTCTACAAAACTGACTGACAGCTGGTGCTGATTATGACGTCATAACTCTTCATGCCTGTGATGCTGATAGTCATTTTCATCAGTGATCAGTGTTTAAACAGTCTGCGTTCACCAACACTTTCACCACACAGAACATCTATGAGATTATGTTGAGAAATGACTCCAGCTTCCCACTCAAAGTTATTGAGAAGGCTGCACATAGTCAAGAGGCTTATCTGGTGTGCACTAAATAGGTTCTTGTGTACTTGAAAAACTTTTAAAAATATTTATTTAATCAACTATAACGTGTTTTTTTTTCTCCTGGCAATTAAAACAAAACACAACTTACTGCATCATTTTCAAGATCATAACTTTCTCCATTGCTGTCGCTTTCCCATTTCTGTAAAACCTTCTCTTTATGTTCTCCATTGATGCGGCTGGAGCTGATGGCTGTGTCTGTAAAAGAGTCTAAAAGCAAACAACACAGGCAAAGTTGTAAATCATAAATAGATCAAAATGTTTGTTTCTTCAGATTGATGCTTTACTTTAACCAGATTTTAGAAAGGGAGACGACAGCTTTAATTTATACTCGTCTCAGTACTTTACAATGTTTATAAAGGCACATCACACATTATTAAACTTTGGACACATTCAGATAAATATTACATTATGTATTACTCAAAACATACAGTTTGAAAAATCACAACTTGGCAGTATTTGGCGAATCATTTACCATGACTCAAATAAAGTTAAGCCTTTGCACAATCTAATAGTTTCACTTGAAGTTATCACGCATTAAGACGTGAGAAAATTTCCATCTCACTTGTATGACATAGACATTGCTGGACTTAGTTAACACGAGTTTGTACCTCGAGTGGCAAAGTTGAGGTCAACGTCTCTGCAGATCATTGTAACCAGATCTGATGGGCTGAAGATCATGGTGTCTGTAATTTCCTCCCTCCGTGGTGGAGCTGATGTTGATCCTTCTTCCTCACTGCATTTATGTACAGCATCCACAGCTAATTCACACTAAAGAAACACACAGCAAACAAAGCAGAACTTTTAGGTGCAATATAATTTACTTTACTATGAATGTTTCTGTTCAGTGCCCTGAAACGACTTGTACTGTATGTCGATAATTTGTTTGAGGAAGATGAGTTTCTTACCCGAGAACTGAGAGTCTTGAATATGCCTTCAAACACACTGCCATTTTTCACTCTTATGTCACAAGTGGATCCCTGAAAAACATTTAATTTCATTATTAATTTGCAAATAACACAATAATTGTTTTCAATTTAAAACTTTAACACAATATAAACCATACCTACTTTGGTTTCTACACTGTATTAGGCATAGCTATTTATTTATAGATTTACAGTGTGATTTTTTTTTTAGTGGTTGATGCTAAAAAATACTTTAACAAGCTGCATTCTGCAATATCCTGGAACATATTGTTACATTTCCTATAAACAACAAACAAAGGGAGGAAATATGTAGATAGGATCAGTGTTATATTAGTCAAAAGGACATGATGCAAATAATTCTTCTAAAGTAATCTTGATGATCTGAGAAAATATTAGCAATGAGCCACATGACATACCACAACAGCTGTAAGGAAATGAAGCATTCTGGCATTGTTGTACACACCCTCAAACACCTATACAGGAGAAACACAAACACATTATCAAAATAAAAGGTTTATGGAAAGAGAACACAAAAACAAATAAATACTATTACAGAAAAAAAAGCACGATTTATTGAGAAATTTAGATTTGAGAAACAGTTGATCCCGAAAGTAAAAACGAATGTGCTGAAACTGAAAACACTAACAAATCATAGGTTTATCAATAAATGTGGAGTTTTACAGGATTGTATCTCTGCGTCACAAACATAACTTAAAACTTATAAACATAACTTCTATAAAAATGAAAGCTGAGTGTTTATTGATGAACATGTTTGGTTCTGGATACTCACGGGGGATGACTGGAAAGAGGGTTTTGCAGAAGTTCGATTTCTGGAAGAATGAGACAAGTGTTTAGGAGAAATAATAAAGAGAAATATTATTATTTGTGTTTAAAGGCCGTCAAGGCAGTGTGCTGTTTTTAACAGGTACACACAAACATGTATAATTTTATATTTTAAATGAAATTACACGTGGTTCAACTTTTACATCAACCATTCAAGAAAATTATTCTGGACAAATGTGATGAAAAAAATTAACTTTTAACAAAGAATATCGACGTTGCTTTGTAACGCTGTAGCATGCACAGCCTGGGTTACAAAACAAAGACGATGTCATAAACTTACACACGCGGATAAAAAAAATAAGACGATATAAAATAACCTCATTTTGTTGATGAATCTCGCCAACACAAAACTGCCAACAATAAATACGTATATTCGGAAATTTAGCACTGACAGGCCAGATCAACTTTGTATCTCCTTAACGCTTTCTGCTCATTGTTTTCACCGATTTAGATCCGCCTTATTGCGTTGACAAAACAACTACGCATTTTTATTGGTCCAAACTTACTGTCAATCAAGTATAACATAATGTCATTGGCTAAACACAAGCTAATTTTTCCTAGTCACGCCCACTGCGAGCGTAGCGCTTCAACCGGTAGGCCTTGTAGACATAAGAAAATCCCCGCACTGTCCTACCGAGGGTACGCCGACTCGCTTACCTTGAACCCGGTGTCCTGTTGCCGCTGACTGGGGAAGACATGCCGCCAGGGCCTGATGTTCCGTTAGACGCCTTTCTCCCTCCTGAACCGGGTTGCTGCTGGGGTTTCAGCATTGCGAAGGCTTAGAAAGTACCAAATTTAATCTAACTTGTTAAAACTGATACCTCCCGGGAAAAAAAGGCTGAACTATCTTTAGCTGTAGCACCAGACCAGAGCCGGTGTACCCTCAAAAAAAGACCGGCTACTGTCGCCTGTGGCCTAAGTGTTACGGCAAAACCCTTCGATAATTAAATTAAATATAGCACAGAAGTTAACAATTTTTCCCAAACCACCTACTTTTTAACCCAAACAACTATGTCAAAGAATCCGACAAATTAAGGAACACCAGTTTCCGTGTAATTATTTCTAAACAACTGGCTAAGTTAGCAGTAGCTTTTGATCCTGAAGCTCACTTCGGGCGCTTTTCCCTCCGGGTTTTACTTTCTCCCCACTGTCTTGTTGCCTTAACTCCGGTGCCGCTGGCTCTTCTGTTAAAGATTAAGGACTCGGCGTTATTGTCAGTCAAGTTGCCTTGGGAGGTTGAAATTTCCAGGTTCCTCAGTGAAAACCTGCTGCGGTCGGTCAACTCCACCTTTCGGTAGGTTCACTTGACTCGCGCGCTGCTGACTGGAAGCGGTGTTGTGTTGAAAAAAGCACCCCCGCCACGGGAAGGGCATTTGAGAGTACATTAATCACAGATACATTATTTGATTCGTGTTTTTCATGAAGTGCTGTTGCGAGATCTGATAGTAAAGGGTAGTATACATTTCTAGGTCAAAAATGAAATGTGTGACTATTCTGCTAGCTCAATTTGACATCATATTTATCATAATAACATTTTTTTAATATAGTTGTGTCCTGTAGGATATTGAAAACCTGGATTTCGATTTGTCACTTAAATTTAGTGGCGCATTGAAATGCGCCTATTGCGCTATTTGGCAGGGGTTCTTTTTTCGGCACAACACCGGCTGAAAGAGGAGGCGTTCACGTGCGTATTTTACTAACCAGTGAGCGCGCGTACGTGGAATATTAAGCGCAATAAATCGACATTTGATCAATACAAATGTACATTGACATGAGAATACAGTACGTGGTTTGCTGCACACGTGGCGATACATCACACATAATAAAGCCTGTTTATAATTACTTATTTATTTTTATTAAACTTACTTTTATATATGTGTCACCATTACGCGTTTATTTATTTATTTTATTGTAGTTTCATTCACGAGTCACTGAACGACGCTGAACCACACACACAACACAAGTCAGTGCGCCTTTACACCGATTGTTACGGCTCGGATGTACAGACAACATGGCGGCCTCCATGAAGAGCATTTTTGTTGCGTAGCAGGGTCTACCTGAGTCCTGGTACTGTTGCCATCAACCTGGAAAGTAGACAAAATATTTTATTACTCTTCTGCCAAAATAACTGTAAGTACTTGAGATTGAATCGCGAAAATGTTTTTGTCCATGATGTTTCTGTTGCGCGCGCCCGTGTTTATTTATTTGTCTGTCGCGTTAGCAAAATATCCGTAACGAAACTCTCAGGAAGTAACTGGATGTACAACCCCATAAAAGATGGCCGCCACAGCTAAGCAACCTTAAAACCACAACAACTTCTCTAACTCAGCCTATTTTACAAACACTGAGCTGCAGTTTGGTGTGGTAGTAGCTGAGAGTCATACCCAGCACATACACAGAGCACAAGAGCAGTTTTTAAAGCTTTGCCATTGGTGATTAGTGTCAACCGTCTCTGTTAAAAAGAAATCTTATGACCCACTGGATGGATTTTAATGAAACACTCAGGAAGTGATCCCAATCTGGACAACTACAACTGAATCAATCCACTTTAAGATGGCCGCCACAGCCAACTGGACTTACTGCTATTAAGCTAAATTGTGGTGTGGTAGTAGCTGAGCATCATCCCCAACACACACACTGATGCACTCAGGACATTATTATTTTTTAAAAACTTGGCATAACTTGAGTTAACATTGTCTCTGTTAGCAAAATATCTAATGATCCATTGTACATTTGACAGGTGTGCGTCTCACATGTTGACTAAGAAGATCCCACCTGTGCAGAGTTTCCTGTTACTGGTCTCCAGGCGTGTAGGCCACCTCAGCAGGCAGCGCTATGACGTCATCGTGGTGGGCGGGGGCCATGCAGGGACGGAGGCGGCGGCTGCAGCTGCCAGGGTGGGAGCGGACACGCTCCTGGTCACGCAGAAGATGCACACAGTTGGTGAGGAGAATCTCTTTGTCTAAACATGGTTTTGTGAGTGATTCTTCAAGTAGGTCTGATGCGTTCCTCCTCCTCCAACAGGCGCCCTGTCCTGTAACCCGTCTCTGGGGGGGGTCGGGAAGGGTCAACTTGTGAGGGAGGTGGACGCCCTGGATGGGTTGTGCGGTCGAGCTGGAGACTGGGCTGGAATTCATTTCTCCATCCTGAATCGTAGAAAAGGGCCAGCTGTGTGGGGGCCAAGAGCCCAGCTGGACCGCCAGCGCTACCGGGAATTCATTCAGGTCTCACAAACTCTGATACTTTGAAAAAATATGTATATTATTTGTGACATAGATCAAATGTCATTGCCTTTGTACAGTCCGAGCTGCTGTCGACTCCCAGGCTGACAGTGCTGGAGGGCTCAGTGGAGGAGCTGCTGGTCACAGATCCAAATCCAGAAGACCCGGGACACCACAGAGTCACCGGGATACGGTTAGGTGGGCATCAGGAAACAGCAGTTCAGGCTTTAGTGAAAGTTTCAAATCATTCTGAGTTTGTTGTCACACATTTTTAAACAAATAAGAGACTTATCTCAGTTGATCATTACCGTATTTTCCACCATAAATGTTGCTCCGCCCTATAAGTCACATCAGTCCAAATACTGAATGTCTAATAAAGTGGAAAACAACATAAATATGTTGCTTCGCCATATACGTCGCATCTATTATGCGTCACCGCTGACAACCCGGAAATGTGGGCCAGTGTTGTGCCAAAAATCAATTGACTGCCAAATGGCGGCCGCGGGATCGAGCACAGGAGGACTTGAACAAGAATGTAACAAGATTAACGCTTAAAAACAATTATTTGTTTGCTCGAAATTATAGCAAAGTTGTGTCTCAGTTGTACTGAATAAATGCACTTTAATGGTCAAATTAACGGCATTTCGCTGGGGCCGTGCAGCGAAATGACGGTTGCTCCAAGCAGCGAGCAGAACGAAGGTGGGGAGACTGTGGCAAGCCGATTGCATCGTTAATAGCTGGTGAAGATTCTCAGTCATCCAGGACATGGTAAATTCAAAAAAGTTAAAGAAAAACAACTATAAAGTATAAAATACAATAAATAAAGTCCAGTTTTTTTTGTCTTGAATTTTTTTGAATTTGCCATTATAGCCACTTACTTATTACATGATACGACATGCCTTACTCTGGTGCCATCTAGTGGCTGAAAATGGTAGTGTTCAATATTTTCAGTCAGAATGAATGAAAACGGTCATATCTCAGCCAAAATTGGTTTATAGATATGGGAAAAAATCCATGCATACGTCACTTCGACCTACAAGTCGCAGCGCATGTAAATTATGCAAAAAAACGTGACTTATACGGAGAAAAAAATGGTAATTACTTTTCTTCTTCTTCACTTTGTTTTCACACCAGCAGATGGCAGTCAGACGATCTCAGCAGCCTCTGTGGTTCTCACCACTGGGACGTTCTTGTCCGGCTCCTTGTTCATGGGCCAGACCTCGTCCCCCGGGGGTCGGATTGGAGACGCTCCAAGTGTGGGGTTGTCCCAAATGCTGAGGGAGAGGCTGGGTCTAAAGATCGGCAGGCTGAGGACTGGGACCCCGCCAAGGATCGTGAAGGACTCAGTAGACCTGTCCCTGGCCCAACTTCACCTTCCTGATAGCTGTCCAACTCCGTTTAGCTTCATGAACACCCGAACACGCTGCAAGGTCAGTTTTGTTGTCGCACTCTGCCGAAGGCGGAGCGACAAGGAGTTTAATTTATTGTATCGTTTTATTACTGTTGTTGTGTCCGTCAGTGTTTTCTACCATCAGTAGTGATTCGTACTTTGTGGATGTTCTGAACGCCCTGTAGCCGGAGGAGCAGCTGCCCTGCCACTTGACCTTAACTACTCCTGGGGTAGAAAAAGTTGTGAGGGAAAGTCTTCATCTCAACTGCCACATTCAGGAAGACACCAAAGGCCCCAGGTACACACACACACACACACACACACACACACACACACACACACACACA